AATATTTGACGCTAGTGTATATATATATATATATATATATATATAATTGTCAAAGTTGGAATTAAAATTGAATTATAGTTATTGTTGTCTCTGTTATGATTGTCAGTTTTTCCCGTACATCTAAATCAAGTAATAAGTGATGTGAGGAATGGGTTATAAGAAAATTCTTGGTTTTGATATCAGCCACAAAATCTACTCCTAAGTAGATAAGTACATTGGCGTACGTTACTGTTTTAGAAATAGGTGAATATTCTTTTTAAAGGCTCCAAATGTAACACGAAAATTATCATATGTATCGTTTACTTGTAACGAGACCTGTCTTTGTTTAGTCCCTTAATTTCTTTTATTTTAACAACAAGCGCTTACCCTTCATGGCATTTTCGTAGCTCATTCCTCCAATACATGACAAAACACAACATTTAATCTTATAACTTATATATATATGTATATATATATATATATAGAGAGAGATTCCAGGAAATTGGTGCCTTTTGAGGTGGGACCCACATTAGTTTGTTGTCCTACTAGCCAGTGGGACTCAAGGCATTAATCTTCAAATTAGCATTATGTGACTAGTAATTGCCTTTAAAAAGGTCCTCAAGAATTCGGAACCCAGTACTTGATATCCATTACACCACGAAAGCACTAGTCAAATTATATAAGAAAAGCCCATTATGGAGAATGTGCATGAATTAACATTGCATCTCCAGCGACAATTAGTAGTAGTAGCAGCAGCAGCAATAATAGTATTATTAGCCACAAAAGCAACTTCATCTGATGATCATCAACAACCCATGATGAATATTGCCAAGCCGGGCTGTCCAAATAGCTGCGGCTCCGTTAGCATTCCCTATCCATTTGGTACCTCTCCTGAGTGTTACTACGATAAGTCCTTTCTCATCACTTGTAACCAAACTCCAAACAACACCATTACTAGTCTTAACAGCTCTCAACCATTTTTCCCCAACAGCAACGTTTCTATCCTCAACATATCTTTGGAGAGCGGGGAATTGCGCGCGGCGGGCTTCATCTCCCGCCATTGCTACAGCGAACCACCGAGAAACCTCTCGGGATACGCGGTCCATTATTCTGAATATTATACGATTACAAATTCTACTTTTCCCTTGAGCACGCGCAACAAGTTCACCGCCGTCGGCTGCGACACGTTCGGCACAGTAGCGGGTCGAACGGGAAAGACCTACGCAACTGCATGTTTTACATTTTGTGACGAGATTGGAAAAGACCCCGTTAACGGGTCTTGCTCTGGAATTGGGTGTTGCCAGATGAATATCCCGGGAGGAGTAGTGGACTACGGTATTGGTGTTCGGATTGGGTCTTTGTCCAACTACAGTTTGTTGACTCATGAAGATAATCCGTGTGGTTATGCCTTTGTGGCGGAAGACGGCGTTTACAACTTCTCGTGGTCGGATCTTAAACGCTTACAGAAGGACGTCTTTCCTGTGGTGCTTGACTGGGCTATTGCGAATCTCACGTGCAAAGAAGCCATGAAAAACCTGACGGGTTCATATGCCTGCCTCGCGAGCAACAGTCACTGCTTGGACTCAACTAACCCAGTTGGTTGGTATCGCTGCAAGTGCCCCGATGGTTTTCAAGGGAACCGTTATCTCCCCCATGGTTGTCAAGGTAATAAATTAAACTTGTTTATTTTATTAAAACGAACACCAACGATGTTTTAATAGTAAGATATTTACTTAATGGGTGTAAAACAAAATTGAGTAGTTGACAAAAAATTTATTACAATGAAATTACATTTTTATTTTACCACATTATCATATTTCTATATTTGATGAGTAACCGCTATGAAAACTTACGTACTTTTAAGAGTGCATAAGTTTTGATTTATATTATTTATTCATTATTAATACCTTTTAATTAATACAGTTATTTGACTAGAAAGATATTAATTAAAAGTAAGAGGTAAAAAATCGAGACTGTCTCCTTTTCCCGTTATGAAAATCTAATAGCCCAGCATAGAGCAATAGGATTGAATTTTGATATACCCTATCAAAGAACTCTTGCATTTTACTTTTATCTTATCTAACGTTTGCTAAAGTTTATCTAACTAAGAATGCTAGGAATACATTATATATATATATATAAATGCTTTTTTACCAAAAGAAAAAAAAGATAACATTGATATTCCATATATACACACACAAACATGTAGGGTATAATTTAAATGGTTACTCAATATTTATTCGTTGGTGAGTTTGGTTGTTTTAATTGTAAAATATTAATATGAGGGTCATAAAATAAAATTAAATAATTGACAAAAAAAATCCGTAGTAACTAATAAAATTATATTAATCTTATCACCTAACAATATTACATTTTTATATTTAATAAGAACCACTGTGAAAATGTAACGATTGAGAAGTCGTCCGTTAAATGTAGATGTCGATGAGTGCAAAAGTACTCCAAATCCGTGCAACACTACTACAAGTAAATGCGTCAACTTGCTCGGAAGCTTTAACTGCTCTTGTTTCAAGGGATACAAAAAGGACGAGAGGACAAATGGAACAGGTTGCGTACCGATAGACGGTGGCAAGGATAACTCTGCAGAAAAATTTTACATTGCGATATGTAAGCTTCCATATTATATATCCTAGTCATATTAATATATATCTAATAAGTAAAATTAGTAGGTGCTAATCTTTTTTTTTTATTTTTTTTATTTTTTATGAAAGAACTACTGCATTTACCTATGGATCTTGATTTTTACCATTTATTTTTTATTAATACTATTTTGATTAATATGGTTATTTGACTAAAAAGATATTAATCAAGAATGAAAGATAAAAATCGAGACTCGTACACTTTAAAAGATATTTATATTATTTTCCTAATTTTTATTTAACTTTAGTGGGCCAACTTAATTAGTTGATATATGCTACTAAGGACCCGTTTAGTTTGCTGATTTGAGTTTTTAATTCGAGTTGAGATGTAGTTGTATGTGAGAGCTTTTTACTGTAGTAAAAAAGTTAAATATAATTATTTCTAAGAGCTTTTTACTGTAATAAAACTTAAATTTTAAATTCAAATCAGTTGAATGAATAGAACTTAATTATAAAATTAGCACGTAATACTATTTAGCTCTCAGAAATACGGGCTTGCAGAGTATCTGTATAAGGACTTATCTTTTGGTCATAGTCAATGATTTGCTACCACACAAGTCATCTCATCGTTGCAAGTTCAGCGTATGAACCAAAGACCAATGTCATATTTTATATGTCACAACAAATTTAAATGAGGTCATCTCTTACGTTTTATGAATGGTGCTAAATCCTCCACTTTTCATTCACTGAAAACAAGTTTTTGAAAGGACCAAAATACGCTAGTGTCAATTTAGGGGTTTCAATAACATTCATGAAAAGATATATATATAGGATAGAACAAAAATTTAAATAAAACAAAAGACAGATTTGAATTTTTATTCCATAAAAATATTTGATACTCATTCTTTTGGATTTTTTTTTTCACTTCTAATAATTTATATTAAATAAATTTGACCAGCAGATCATGCGAGATTTTCCTCCTCGATCTCATGACTTTAACCTTTTGTGCTGAAAATTTTTCGAACTTTTATTGTACAGTAATATGCATATGTCTGTTGGCATTGCTTGTGGGAGGCACTTGGGTTTACTGGGGTTTGAAGAAAAGAAGACTCATCAAACTTAAACAGAAATTCTTTGAACAAAATGGTGGGTTACTTTTGCAACAACTCCCTAGTACTGATAGGGGGTCCACAGGGATGACCAAGATTTTCACCGCAGATGAGCTGAATAAGGCCACCAATAACTATGACGTAAAAAGAGTACTTGGCCAAGGAGGTTATGGAACAGTTTACGAAGGAGTATTGGCAGATAACAAGGTTGTTGCTATTAAAAAGTCTAAAATTGGTAATCAAAGCCAAATAGAGCAATTCATCAACGAGGTCAAAGTACTCTCTCAGATAAACCATCGGAATGTGGTCAAACTCCTAGGTTGTTGCTTGGAAACTGAAGTTCCATTGTTAGTTTACGAGTTCATTACTAATGGAACTCTTTTTGAGCACATTCATGACACAAGAGGCCAATATTTCCAACTTTCGTGGGAAATGCGTCTCAAAATAGCAGCAGAAACCGCCGGTGCAATTGCGTACTTGCACTCTTCGACTTCTATGCCAATCATACACAGAGACATCAAGACCGCAAACATACTATTGGATGAGAATTACAACGCGAAAGTTTCGGATTTCGGAGCTTCCAGGTTGGTTCCTCTTGATCAAACTCAATTAACCACTTTAGTGCAAGGAACACTCGGTTATTTAGATCCTGAATATTTTCATACTAGCCAACTAACAGAAAAGAGTGATGTTTATAGCTTTGGAGTGGTCTTGGCAGAGATATTAACTAGTCAAAAGGCATTGTCTTTTCAAAGGGTGGAATGTGATAGGAACTTGGCCACGTACTTTGTCTCGTCTATGAAACAGGATCATCAACTACTCCGGATTCTTGACGAGAATCTTGTCAATAATGAAAATATTGTTGAGCAGCTAAAAGTGGTTGCTAATGTTGCAAAAAGTTGCTTAAGAGTGAGAGGAGAGGACAGACCTACTATGAAGGAAGTGGCAATCGAGTTAGAGGCACTTAAAGAGAAGGCGAGGATTCATCCATGGGAAAAAGATGATCACAATTTAAGTTCGGGAGAGACCGAACACTTTCTAAAAACATCCGGGGTTCAAGGCATCCATGGCAGTAATTCTACAAGTACAAGTACTTTTGGGTTTGATAGCTTAAGTGTTGAGATTAGAAAACATGAAGATGTACGATAGTAATTTCTATGAACATTTTCTTGTCCGTTGTCGTTCAAGTTTTGTTTTGTTTTTTTTCTTTTTGTTTATCATTTTTAGAACTTGAGAGAATCTGAACACTATGCTCTAAAATTGAGTTAGATGTGGAATAATTGTTAGACCATTTTCTTGATTATTTACGTTGTTTCTATTATTATTATTATTATTATTATTATTATTATTATTATTATTGCTTTTTCTAAAAGTTATTAGTGTTTCTTCTGTAATTAGTGAGTTTTACAAGTAGAAATATGTAAGCGTCATATTCTGTAGTCATGTTGTACTTGAGTTATTAAAAAAAAGCAATAAATTTCAACAGGTTCATATTTGTTGAGAAAAATGCATGTGTATTGTCTCACATGAAAAGTGGATGAGAATGTGAAGTGATTTATATACATATGATTCAAGACTTAATAGGTTAACCTTTTGGGTCAAGTTGGGCTCTTAAAATGTGTTTAGTCAGTTTCGCATGTGGTGTCTTCCCAACAATATTTGAGTCATTGGGAGTAGACTTTGCTGGAGGGAGTGGTAGTTGTGAGCACTGATTTGGTTCTCTTATAACTAGTGGCATTGCTTATTAATGTCTTTTAGGCAGATTTTTACGAAACCCTTTTTTGGAGGGAAAAAAAAAAATCGGCTATCACCTTCTCCATTACTAAGTTCTTACATGCAGGAATAAGGCCGTTAGCCGGCATTTGTAGCAAATTTTATTTGTTCTTCGCCGCTTTGGGTTGTGGGCTTACTTTCTAGTACTAGTACATGAAGTAATGACTAGCGTTATAGGCCGTTGGGCCGCTGGAAGGTTGCCACAAGTAAGTTTGGAAAATGTGTTGTAATTCGGTCACAAATCGCATGCTCTTGAACTATCCACACCCAACTCCAATTTAGACAACATTGAGCTGCCTCATTATTTTCTGTATATGTGCTTTTTTTTTTTAACGAACATGTAATATCACTCGTTCGTACTTTTTTTTTTTTTTTTTTTTTTTTTTGCGTATGTCCATGCGTAAAAACTGAGTGTATACGTACAAATATTATTACACATGCATACTAACTTAAGACAATTTCTATATAATTTGATTTTTTTTATTCTGAAAATAGTGTAATATTGAAAAGCGCAGTTAGCCCAAATATACCTTTATACTTTGAGATATATATATATATTTTTTGCTGAAATACTTTGAGAGAACTAAAAGTTAATACGATATAGCTAAACATTTTTTTAAAGGGCTTCTATTTGTATCTTTGTTAATTTTTTTAGAGAAATAAGATATATACTCTTTTAGAGTGCATGAATATAGATTTTTATTTCTTATTTTTTATTAATATATTTTTAATTAAATATATCAATTAGGTAATTTCAGTTTTTTTTTTTCTTTCTTCTCCGTGGGCCATTCTTCACCGACCGATGGTAAACTAATTGAAGGAGCGTGAACTCTTACAAAAGAAAAAAAAAAGAAGAAAAAAAAAGAAGAAAGAGACAGTAGTAGCAAGAAAGAGGTCCAGTCGTTTTAATGATGTCCCACATTCGCCAAAATAAAGCTAATAACAATAATAATAAATTTCACATCATATTGTCCCCACGTCCTTGTAATTTGTATATAGCTAGCTCTCACACTCCTCGGAGTTAGCTTTCAAACTCTCTCTGTCTTCTCTCTTCTCTTCTGGAATCAGAGAGAGCATTTACATTGTCTTTTAACGTTTTGTTTTCATACATATCAAACTTGGATTTTTATTGTTATGGCCCTAGTATGGAAACTATTCATGTTTCTTTACTGCTGTTTGTTAATCTCCGGCAGTTTAGTCACCGCCGGAAGACAAGTGTTTGAGGATCATGAAGAAGAAGCGCAAAGAGAAGCTGACAGAGTGAAAGACTTGCCGGGACAACCGCCGGTGAAGTTCCGGCACTACTCTGGCTACATCAAACTTGACCCTATTAAAGGTCACAAGGCTTTGTTCTACTGGTTCTTTCACGCCCAACAAAACTCTCCCCACAAACCTCTCGTTCTTTGGCTCAATGGAGGTGCAATTTTATTTATCTCTTTTCTCTTCTTTAATTAATATATGCTCCCTCTATGAATATTTAGTTTTGCTTCTTCTTAATTTCTCTATCTATATTTCTTCTTTACCATTTCTTAGTTTGTTTGTTTGTTTTTTTTTTTTTTTTAATTTTATGGATGTGATATGTGAAAAGATGAAAGAGATGATATGGTATGTTTTACAAAATAATAATAATAATAATAATAATAATAAATAATAATAATAATAAAGTAAAAGTGAACTCTCTTTAGACTAGTCTTTGTTACTTTCCCTGTTGTTGTTTCTAAATGAGAAAATTGAAAAAAAAAAAAAAAGTACATTAATTAAGCAACAAAATGCTTATCTATTATAATAATGTCATTTAGAATTGGCACATCCATTTATTACCTACCATGCACCAAACTCCACAGTAGCCATGGCGGCGTAGCCTAATTCTCACTCTCTTACAGATAAACCCTTCGGTGGGTTTTACAAGAATATTTACAAATTTCTCCATCTTCTTTATCATTTTGCATTAATACAATAACATGATTAAAGATCAAAGAGTAGATTGTGCTATATATAACCTATTGTGTGTGTAATTTAAAATTTGCAGTAAAAGTATAAAAAAAAGTGAATTCTTCTCCCTGCGCTTTATGTACTTTCACTTGCAAAAAAAAAAAAAAAAAAACAAGATGAAGAAAAAATAATAAAGAAAATAGTAGTACTAAGCAATCAACGGTTCTCTTCTAGCTAGAGTTGGGATCCCCTACCTACTGCGCCACAGTAATGGCTCATAAGCAATTATTGGTTTGTTCGTTTGCACTCAAATTTTAAAAAAATTTGAACTCAAATTACAACTTTATTTAAGTTCATATTCTTTTGTAAAATTTGAGTTTGAACTTGAGTTTGTGGTTAAAATATGAGTTTAAGTTTCTCCTTAAACTAAAGTTTCTAAATTGAAACTCAAGTTAATGAACAATATTTTTTCTATTATTATTCTTAAAAACGTTATACTTTTTTCGTTTTAATTCTGATTGAGATGATTCTTTTTTATGCTTTTACAACGAAGAGACGATAAAACTCCACCCATATACCCTATTAAATTTTTCATCATCATTGAGTTTTTATTAAAATAATATCTAAATATAAACTCAAATTTTGACCCATCCAAACACAAACTCAAAAAGATTCTCATCTCAAATCACAACTCAAATGTACACAACTAAATGCAAACTTAAGTTACATTCAAGTTAGAACTCAAATTCAACTTAAGATCTAAGTACTTAAGTCACCATAATTTAAAAATATAACTGAACAAGCCCTATATGTCTTTCACACACTCGCAGAAAAGCCCTTCGTTTCTTTTTTTCTTTTAAAGTGAAAAATAAAAATAAAAATAAAATAAAATAAAACAAAAGAAAGAAATAAAGCCCTTCGTTCTCTAACTACGACTGACCACTACAGATTTTCTATCTTCATTTTTTTTTTGGCTGAAATTTAAGATGATGTGGTGTTGTCAACTCTTTGTTCTCTTTTTTGTTTTTTGCAACTCTTTTTTTACCTTAACCAAGCTACGTTTCACTTTCAGGGAAAAAAGGAATTTAATAATTGATTTGGTAACTGAGAAACAACGTGATGAAAAATCACTATCACTAAGTATTATCACTAATAGAAAATGAACTTCATCTGTAAATTTTATTCTAAGACTCATATTCTATTAATTAATAGTGCTGAATACTACCGGTGTTTAATAACATTACTCTTTTAAATTTGACAACTGATAATCATTAGTACCACCAACTTTCAATTTTGTCAAAGGTTGTGGGCCACATGTTTTTTGATCGATTTAGATCACATGTTATGATCAGTACTCATCATATAGCAGCCGTTGATCACGGTGACTAACCAACAGTAACGCCACAAAAAATTTACTTAACAATAATTTGATCATCCGTGACACTTTCAACGATGCACACTGTCATTTGCTTTTAGCATGAAGATAATGGTGACTTTAGACTTTTTGCATTAATATTTTTCTTTTTTAATTTTTGGTGAATAGTCCCAATAAATAATTTACTTCGTCTCAACCTTACGAGCCAATCTTGTGCCAGAACATGTCTGCCATAAAAAGCCACAACATATGTCAGAGTCGGACCCAGTCCAACTCTCACGAATTCCATGCATTGATAAAAAAAATTATGGAATTGTCTTAAGTACATCATTCAAATCAGTCAGGCATGTATAATTTTTTTATATATTTGTGTAAAATTTTTCGTACATGTATGTAAAACTTAATTTATTTTAGTATAATATTCAATAAATATAATTCACACATGTAATATTAGTATTACACTTAAATAAATTAAGTATTAGACACATTTATGATTGATGTTAGTATTACACTTAAATAAATTAAGTATTAGACACATTTATGATTGATGTTAGTATTACACTTAAATAAATTAAGTATTAGACACATTTATGATTGATGTTACACAAACATATGAGAAAAAATTACATTTGTCAGACTATTTGACTCTCATATTTATGACTCTGTCACAATTTTTAAGATCCGACACTTGTCAACAATGTTATACTGGCATATATCAAGATGCATATGTTTTTTTTAGATCCCTCACATTTTTTTTTAACTTTATCTTTTCTTAATTTCTCCCTCTTGGTGACATGCTAATATTCTATGTTAGACTCTTTGAATATTATATAGGCAAAGAATAGGACGATCGGGTATAAATACATCTATTAATACTATTGCAATAATTGGACTACAAAATCACTGCTTAAATAATGTTGACAAGTACTAATGTAGTTAATTAATGTGTAGTTATACTATAGAACGTACAGGATCATGAGTTGGAATTGATCACTTAAAAATTCAAATTAAATTAAATTTTCAGGACCTGGATGCTCATCCATAGCCTACGGAGCTGCACAAGAACTTGGCCCATTTCTTGTCCGAGGCAATGGAAGCCTAATTCTCAACAAATTCTCCTGGAACAAAGGCAAGTACTGCCTATAGCTGGTGAACTTCATTTATCTTTCAGTACTACTCTGATAATCATATACGCTCCCGTTTGTTTTATAAATTTAAATTACTGTTTAAATTTTTTTGTTACAATATTTTTTCTCACAAAATTTAAATATTTATTCAAACCTATGAACCAAACGGTTATCTTTCATCGATATAAATATAGGTAATTTCAAACAATATTATCCTGTATATTTTTGGCCTTGTTCCTAAATTTTTATCTTTTGAACTTTGTGACAATGATCTTCAGCCGCAAACATGTTGTTCCTTGAGGCACCAGTGGGTGTAGGGTTTTCATACACAAACAACTCAAAGGATTTGCATGAGCTTGGTGATAGAGTCACCGCTGAAGATTCCTACGCTTTCTTGATTGGATGGTTTAAAAGGTTTCCAAGCTTCAGGTCTCATGATTTCTATCTGGCTGGGGAGAGCTATGCAGGTAATATATATATATATATAACATATACATACGATATTATTATTACATTTTTTAAGTAATTAATGAAGATAGGGTAGTTGATATTAGAGAAACTTGGCATCGGTTATTAACGTCTCGGTATTCTTTCATCCATTCATGATTATTTCCTTTAACCTCAAATTATCATTTTAATCAAATTAATTATTCCTTTGTTGCATTTTTCTTTCCATATATATTATTCAAGGTCATTATGTTCCTCAACTTGCTGACCTCATTTATGAGAGAAACAACGGAGCCAACAAAGATTCATTCATCAATCTCAAAGGTTTCATGGTAAGTTTATTATTCATCCATTTAACCTTATACGTAGATTAAAGTGATCTTATATATAGTAGTACGTATTTCAAAAACATTTATATTTTAGCCATGCAAAAGCTATAATTAATTAATTATTCGATCTCCTAACGAAAATCTGTGATTGTGATTGAAAAACAAAAAGATTGGAAATGCTGTGATCAACGAGGAAACAGATAGCAATGGAATATTTGAGTATGCATGGAGCCACGCCATAATCTCAGACAAGCTCTACAATAGCATAGTGAAGGAATGTGATTCTAAAAATGTAGATAAGCAAGCAGAAGCAAATTGTGCAATCCATGTCAGAGACTTCTTAGAAGCTTACTCTGAAATCGATATATATAGCATCTACACACCAATCTGCATCAATTCTAACAAAGGAATTACTTCTCCAAAGCTTCTTAATGTTGCACCTCGCCTCTTCACAAAACACGTGAGTACATATATATATATATATAGATACATACATATATATATATATATACATATCCCTTAACTCAAATACTTCAAAAGAATTCTATTTAAAAATTCTACGTTCCTGTAAATTTTTTATTAGATTTCATGTGTCCTACTATTTGATTGAAATACGCTTAATTATGATTTATATATTCTAGCCTTAAAAATGTATGCCAATTGCCACCTTGTATAATAATAATAACTATTATTGGAAAAGGTGATATATATATATATATTAAGTAAAGAATAAGAAAGGATATAACTAATATCAAAATTTGCTAATACATCTCAATTAAGTTGGCACCCACTAACAAGCTCATCCTAAATCAAACCCTCCACTCGAAATTATTAATATGAAAATAAAAGAAAAAACAAAAATAAAGTCAACCCGAAAGCAAAAAAAAAAAAAAAAAAGCCAAAATTAGCCACCATATCAGAAACCGCACTAAATATAAAGCCATCTAGGTTAATCTTCATAAAAGCCTTCCGAATAAAAAGTGATATATATATAGATATATATGTATGAGATGTATGTATATTACGAAGATCATATAACAGTGATAAATATAACTTCAGAATTCAGTTGTGCATGTGGGTGTATACTAGTAGCATGCATGCGCAAGCTGTTGGCTATTAATTGATCGGCTGCACCTATAACAAGTTGCTACTCATGAAAATTGAATGAGAAAGCGACAGAAAATAAGTAGCAATATTAAAGGTTTGTCTTTTATGTTATAATAATAATAAAAATAAATTTGTCTGGAATTCAGGACCTTTGGCATTGGCTACCATCAGGATACGATCCATGCACAGAGGATTACGCCGTTAGATTTTTCAACAGAGAGGATGTTCAGAGGGCCCTACATGCCAATGTCACTCAGCTTTCCTATTCTTACTCTCCTTGCAGGTACATTTAATATCCGCGTTTTAACTCATTTATTAGCTCTCATTTAATACAATTTTTTAATTAACCCCTTAAAGTTATATAAATAGTGTTCCAAACAACAATATGTAGTTTGTCTTAAGACGACAAACTGACTCAAATGATTATATGCAACGTAAATGATAATTAATTGCATTACTATTTAGTTATTAGGGTCTTTCTTTAATATGACTTCTTTATTTGTAAGGTTAATTTATGATTGTTGAATTAGATTAAATTTTTTTTTAAATTAAAAAAAATACATATAAAACAGACAGTTTTTAATAGATATATGATGGTTGAAAATATAATCTTTTCCGTTATTCATTCTTTCAGTGGCTACCGGAAAATTCTCCTAATTATTATAGTGGGTTAATATAAATATTGAGAAATTGATTTCTTTGGTGTCGTGAAAACTGGCATCTTCAATTTAGATTCTCTGTGCGTATGTACAGAAAGCAGAGTAGTCCTGGGCCTTAGGGAGAGAGAGAGAGAGGAGAGAGAATCCACTAACTGTAACTTTTTTAGCAAAATTCTGTTTTTTTTTTTTTTTTTTTTTTTTTTTTTTTTTTTTTTTTTTTAAAAAAAAAGGTCTAACATAATAAATGATCATGTTGCATAAAGGATTCTTGATACCTCATTTTCAACTGTTTCACCCTCCTCGATTCTTTTCCAGACAACTACAATGAATTCATCTGAAATCAAAAGCTTTCTTCATGATTTTTTCGGTCTCCTTATACTGTAAATGACCAAAATAGTTGTCAAAAAGTCGTGAGTGAATATCAATTAATTTTTTTCCTGAAAAAAAAAATGAATTAAGCAAACTTAAAGATATGCTAGACATATGTGTGAAGAAGTACTTGGTATGACTGTTTATATTCAAATGGTGCATGGAAGTAACGTATTGATTTATAGTGACTTTTTAGTGAATGGATTGTGAAAGGCGTTAAAATTTAAAAGTATATACAGCATACAGTTTTTGAAATAAATCTAATGATTTTAGAATAAAATATTACCGGTAGTGTGCATGGCATATTGTAAAAATCTGATGTATGCATGTAAGGAAAATATAAAATACCAACTTTCAAAAAAATGAAATACCTGCGAATATTTTCTTACTGCAAAAGTCAAATGATATACGATTTGATTTAGATTTGATTTAGTGGACGTTTAGTTAACGGTTTCAGAATTATTTTTAATTTATATGTATTTTTTTATAAAAAAATACAACAATAAATAATAAATCAATCATGACACGGATTTTTGTACTAAAAAGTCAAAAGGATCTGCTTGAGTTTGTGCATTCCAAATGAAATACCTGCGAATATTTTCTTACTGCAAAAGTCAAATGATATACGATTTGATTTAGTGGACGTTTAGTTAACGGTTTTAGAATTATTTTTAATTTATATGTATTTTTTATAAAAAAATACAACAACAAATAATAAATCAATTATGACACGAATTTTTGTACTAAAAAGTCAAAAGGATCTGCTTGAGTTTGTGCATTCCAATAATGGATCTCATCATGATGTCGTACATTTACTGCCCATCCCCCAAAAAAAAAAAAAGAGCATATAATATATGATGAGTTTCTGTTTGGATGCTTGCAGTGGCGTTATTGGGAAGTGGAAGGACTCACCTGACACTGTTCTCCCCATCATTCGAAGACTCTTACAAGCTGGCCTTCGTATTTGGGTCTATAGGTACGTATAACTTGTATATACTTATTTACAAGTACTGATTAATTCTCTAATTATAAGCACTATATGATACAATATCTGTCGAAATCTAATGTGTACCCTACTATTATCAATTTCCATAAAAATTACTAGTCATGTTAAAGTAATTGTATTCTAAATTTTGAGAGATGAAGATTAATGATGATGACGATATTGGTGATGATACAGCGGTGATACTGATGGGAGGGTCCCTATAACATCGACGAGATATAGCATAAAGAAAATGGGATTGAAAATAAAGGAAGAGTGGAGGGCTTGGTTTCACAAGGGCCAAGTTGCGGGATGGGTAGAGGTGTACGAGGGCGGCCTCACTCTAACCACCGTGAGAGGTGCAGGCCACCAGGTCCCGGTCCTTGCTCCCCATCAGTCTCTTTCTCTCTTCTCCCATTTTCTCTCCGCTAACACCTTGCCGGCTTCAAGGTTCTAGTATAGCTAGTATTTAGTAGTACGTACTAGGACTGTCCAAGGCAGCTGATAATGAATTTGTTGCAAATCCTATTGCACACTGATATCATTTCTATATATATAGACTTTATTTGGACAGTTTTTATATGTATTAGTAAACAATTGTGATTCATTATTCTATAGCTTAGTTGTTTGAAAAAGAAAAACCATCTCTCATCTCGCACGAGTACAAAAGAAATTATCACGGTAATTTGCTTCCAGCAAAGAGAAAAAATACATATAAATAAAGAATTGTCGATATGGATTTTTATGCAGAGAGAATATTATTAAGAGCTATATATATATATAGGGAAAAATTAGAAAGTTATATTAATGCTTACAGTTTTTTCATAGAAAATATACGTCAAACATGTCTGGTGCATACAAACATAACTTTTTTGTATGAAAAGTCCTGTGCTGTTACAACGTTTTGTTTAGTTTTACGAGTAGTTCATTACTTATTACCAAACTAGTAGAGGAAAATGGAAAACTCAACAATAGTATACAAGTACTCAAATAATCAAACAAAAAAGTTAAACGAAAGGATTTGAAGAAAGAAAAAAAAAAAAAAAAACATTCATTTGATAGAAGAGTTTGGATGGTTTGTAGCAAGAGTTATTTTTGGTTTTTTGAGCCCAAAAACTAAACTTATAAAAGCGTTGGATATTTGACATAAGTGCTTCCAATTAAAACTGCGAAATGTGACTTCTAAAAAAGACTATTCCGAACAAATTTAAAAACTTACATCTCAGACATTATAAAAATTTATTATAATTTTTTAATTGCTTTTTGGAAAATTTTATAATATCGTTTTCTCTTTTTAAAAATGTAGTGTCAAACTCTCACTAAAAAAACAATGTTTTCCCCTAAAAAAACATAGTTTTTATTTATTTTCCTCTATATTAATTAAAAGAAAAAACAAAACTCTACAAACGGCCAAAGTAAACTAACTGGTAAGAATAATTTCACTGCACTTTCGTTTATTTTTGTTGGTCAACGCAGATATCACATGATCTTCTTTTCTCCTTTTTACGTACTTTTTTTCTCTCTCTCTCTCTTTAATAAAGGGAAAAATCTGTAGTGAAGTTTCGCACTTTAGTCATGTCGGCTAGTTAGAATTCTGTTTTAATGATGTGTACGTACAATAAGCGTTTGAGAAATTATAGAGAACGAAATATGGTATGCTTATGGGTCGTATAATCCAATAGGTATTTAATTCGACGTTTAATTTATAAATTTAAAATTATAATTTAAAATTATTTTAATTTTATGTATATTTTTTATAAAAAATAAATACTGTAAAAAATTATAAATTATAATTTAAAATTAAAAATGAATATAGAAAATAAACACTTCTTAAATAATGCGATAATTAATCTATTAGAGAACAAAAATACGGTACCCTAATTATAGGCCCCACACACACATATATACATATATATCACGTAGTCAGCGGCGGAGGGAGGTAAGGCCCGGGTATATGCCCCCTTAGATTTTTGATATTTGATTTTTAGTATATATATTTTTAAAAAATTTTCATATTTGCCCCTTTTATTAATAAAAATTTTAAATATATCCTCACAAAATCTAATCTCAAATGATATTATTTCTTATTGTCCTCTTGATATTTTCTTATTAAATCTTACTTTAAATGTACCTAACTGATTTTTTCTCTAATTTATTCTTATGAAAATAATTTTTCTTTTAAATTGGTCCATTCTAAAATATTTTTAGATATAATCTAAGGCATTGTTCATTTCACCGATTCGAGTTTGAAATTCAAGTTTTGCTGCAGTAAAAAGCTCTCAGAAACAGTCACATCTGACTTTTTTGCTATAGTAAAAAGCTCTCACATAAAGTCACATATCAACTCGAATTAAAAACTCGAATCAATAAACTAAATGGGCCTTAAGCTATATAAAAAATGGCACATTAAAATATTTTTTTCTCAAAATGTGTCCCTAATTAAGAATTTATTTTCAAACAACCCTCTCAATTACGACTTTCTCACATGCACATTTTCTCTAATTTGCCTTATTGAAGTTATATGTTTTCATTTAAATGTGCCCTGCATACTTAAAGATTTTTTTTCCTCTTCTGGCACTTACAGCTACTATTTTCTCATAGATATTATTTACCTCCTAAATAGTTTTTCTTATCCAATTTACTTGCTAAAACCTTTATTACTCAAGTATGTTCAATAGTCTATATATATATATATATATATACTATTCATCTAAAAATATTAGGAGTTGATTTTATTAGCATTTTTCACGTTTTTAGTTTAGCCCTCCCTCAATTAAAATTCTGACTCCACCCTAGTTGTAATCAAACGTATGCCTTGAAACTTATAAGGCCTTTGGTTGATGGGCACCAGGGTAGAAGGATTAATGGATGAATTATAAGACTTAAGGTTTGTTTGGAAGGAAGGATTATAAAAGATACAGATTGGATGAGAGATCGATTCAAAATCCTCTTTACATATATAGTAGTACTATTTTTTTTTATCGTTGCATTTTTTCTGTCTCTCTTTTTTACAAATACCGTCTAAGCTTTTTTTCTCCTTCCAAAAAGGAAAAAGAAAAAACAAAAGGTGTTTCTTGAAAAAAAAAAACACACACAATAATTCATAACCATGTCTCCAACGTTAAGTACTGCGACAAAACAAAATGCATGCATTATTTATACTAAACATATATCAATAAGTCCAGCTAGCTACCTAGGATCTCGAAAAGAAAACTCCATCATTTTTGTTGCTAAACCAAACAATGAACAAGGAGACGGCATAGATGGCCCAGTTAACACACTTGAGGCACACCGGGAAATGGATCGAGACCGCGACGAAGAACGCGGTGACCGAGAAGAAAATGGCGACTTGCTCCAAAAACGCGGCGGCAATGTGGAACCTGGAGTTGATGTAGTTTGAGATGAAGAGAGCAGAGAAAGTCAGCAAAATGGCAACAGAAAGCAGATCAAATATTAATTGAGAAAGATGGTGCACTCTGGCCGCAGCGGCGGCGGGCTGCGATTGCGAACTAGATTGGAGGGCTATTTCGAGCACCGAAGTGAAACAAAACGCCATGATCACATGTCTTGCGTCTCTATTTTGATGAAGAGACTGAGCAGCGTAAGCATGATGAGAAAGTGATGAAGAAGAAATATTTGTTGTAGTTATACTTGTAATATTATTGACCTGTTGTTGAGATTCTAGGTCAATTATAGTAGTAAATATATCTGGCTTGTGTTGTTGTTGTGGGTGTGACCAATACTTAAGCCATGTTGGGTGTAGCTTTGGTAAAACTCGTGACACTAAAACCATGACTGAGAGATACAAAGTTTTGATGCGAAACACGTAATCCATATATTTATAAATAATTATGTAACAACGTTAAGATTAAGCATATATCAAGTTAGTGCATCCTATATTATGCATGCATGTCTCTCCCTTTATATATATAAGGACGGAAAATTAAGGGTTGTCCTTTTGCATTTTTGAGTTAGGGTGACTTGAGTGGTGATCTTGAGTTGAGTTTGAGCTATAACTTGAGTTGAAGTTGTAACTTGAGTTTGTGTTGGATGTGCATATTTGAGTTATGATTTGAATTGAGAATCTTTTTGAGTTTATGTAGTCAAAACTTAAATTTGTATTTAGATAGTATTTTAATAAAAATTCAATGGTGATGAAAAATTTTAATAGGGTATATGGGTGGGGTTTTATTCGTCTTTTCGTTGTGAATGCATAAAAAAAATAATCTCAATCAGAATTAAAACGAAAAAGTTATTGCATTTTTAAGAATAGAAAAAATATTGCCCATTAACTTGAGTTCGAGTTTATGAACTCGAGTTGAAGGGAAAACTTGAACTGGAGTTTATGAACTCGAGTTGAAAGGAAAACTTGAACTCGAGTTTAGCCTCAAATTCGAGTTCAAACTCGAATTTAAACTCGAGTTCAAACTCGAATTTAAACTCGAGTTCAAACTCGAATTCAAACTCAAGTTCAAACTCAAATTTTATAAAAAAACATAAACTTAAATAAAGTTATAACTCGAGTTCAAACTTTTTCTGAATTTTATTTTAAAAAATACCACAAGTACTTTGGTCTAGGTCGACTAATTAATAATAAAATAATAAATAATTAGCCACGTCGTGAATGGTGCACGAGGAAGGATATTAAAAGGATTAATTTAATGATTCAATAAGTCTATGACATCAATTATGAGTCAAGTGAACGACAAATAAGGCCAAAAAAGGTGAAAAGTTGACCAGGGCGTGTAACGTGTTTTGCTTGGTCGTTTACTTCTTTGGCTCCGCAAATTAATGTTGTAATAAAGCTATATGAAAAGCATGTTAATTAAGTCCAAGTTTGCCAATTAAGTCCTTCTAAGTAACCTAGAATTTTCTTGCCCCATGTGATCTCAAAACTGCGTCGCTCGATATTATTGATGCGACTGTGTATTCAGCGGCCATACACATCAAAAGTTTTCACATGGATCACCTGAAAATATTGTTCTTCTAGATATAATATTGTGCTTGTCACAATCACTTGGGAACACAATTTCCGAACAAATCAAGGGATTTGACCTTGTCTTAAATACTTTCGAAAAGTACGTGTAATCTAGAATTACTTCCCATGGAAGAAAACATGAATTATGGCTAATGCCTGGTGGGGTATAATAGATGTAGAGAATATTTCTCGTGTCGCCTGCACGGAGACTGGCGCATGTACACACATATATACACCAACACGTACAGCACACGGTTTTTTTTCCCAAAAAAAAAAAAAAAAAACTAGAAATACCACTCAAATTATACTGCTAAAAATAGTTACATAGAGGACAGTTTTTTAGAGAGCGTTTAGTTGGTGGATTCGTTCTAAGATTTAGATTATGATTTGTGACTTATTACAGTATTTATTTTCATAAAAAATACACGTAAATTAAAAATAATTCTAAATTATAATTTTAAATTCATAAACTAAACGTACACTAAACGGTTACGAAACTATCCTCTATGCACGTGTCGTCTTATCGATCGTCTATATAGTCTGTAAAGATATAAAGGACAGTTTTAAACCGTCCAATAATGTGTCAGATTAGAAGACAGTTTTATAAACCGTCCTCTAAAACCTTATGTACATTTTAAGGAATATAATGGACGGCTATCTGCAACAAATTACTGTCCTCTGTGGCCATTTTAGAGGAC